TTGGGGATTTCTCCCAAAATTAGGCTTTTAATTCTAAAATTCATCTTAAATCAATTAGTTTCGGTTAAGGTTAAAATAAATAAAATTGAACTACTCTTTCTTTGTGGGACGATACTCGGACTTCTAAAGTCCACTTTATTACTTGTCACGACCCGTACACTTGCGGTAATTTAAATCGAAAGAAATATTTCGCGAACACTCAACAGCAAAGCCTATAGATTATTAAATCTAGAAAAAGATGTTATAATAAAATCAAGAGATGTGAAATTTTTCGAGGATATAATGTTGGCTAAGAAATCTAAAACTAGTCATAAGGATATTTCAATCTTTAGAAGCTCACTAGAAGCGACATTCATAGAAGATATAGAAGTTGAACCTCAAAGAAGTAAAAGAATTAGAAAAGAAAAGAACTTAGGATCACATGAAATAAATCCCCAACTTATTTCTTTTTTACTTAGTAGAATGAGATAGCAAGGATGTTTGTTCTTAAGTGGAAAGTGATCCAAAGACTTATAAGGAAGCGGTGCACTCTAGAGCTTGCATGTTCTGAAAAGAAGCTATAAACAATGAAATGGATTCTATTATTTTGAATAACACTTGGGAAATAGTTGACTATCCAGCAGGATCTAAGGCTATTGGTTGCAAGTAGGTGATTAGGAAGAAATACAATTCCGATGGGTCACTCAATACCTACAAGGCTAGATTAGTGGCTAAAGAAGAGAAGGAATTGATTACTTTGACACATATGCACCCTTAGCTAGGATAACCTCGATCAGGATCTTATTTGCGTTAGCGTCCATTTATGATCTACATGTTCATCAAATGGACGTTAAGATGGCGTTCCTAAATGGAGATCTTGAAGAAGAGATCTATATGGAACAACCAGAAGAGTTCGTTCTACCAGAAAATGAACATAAGGTGTGCAAATTAATTAAATCCTCATATGGACTAAAGCAAGCTCCCAAAAAGTGGCATGAGAAATTTGACTCTAAAATAATGTAAAATGGATTTAATCACAATTCGGTAGATAAATGCCTCTCCACAAAAGTGAATGATAATATATTCATGTTAGTATGTTTATATGTCGATGATCTATTAATCATTAGCAATAATATAGACGGGATTAAAGAAACAAAATTGTTTCTATCCTCTACTTTCAAAATGAAGGATCTTGGAGAAGTTGATACTATCCTTGATATCAAAGTTAAAAAGGATAGTGAGAGTTTTACATTAAGCCAATCACACTACGTTGATAGTGTGATAAACAAATTCAAACATTTGAATATTAAAGAGGCCAACACTCCTATAGATCCAAATATTAACTCAATAAAAAATGAAGGTAGAGCAATTGCACAAATAGAATACGCAAGTGCAATTGGAAGTCTTATGTATGCATCACAATGTACAAGACCTGATGTAGCATTTGCTGTAAGTAAACTAAGTAGGTTTACTAGCAATCCAAGTTCAGAACATTGAAAGGCCGTTCTTGGTTACCTAAAGAAAACCAAAAAACTTGGGACAATATACAAAATTTCCTAAAATCTTTTAATGACATACCGACGCAAGTTGGATATCAAGTGCGGGAGAGAATAAGTCTACTTCAAGTTGTATATTCACTTTTGGAGGTGGTGCAGTTTCTTGGAAGTCTAAGAAACAAACTTGTATTACTCATTTAACTATGGAATCGGAGTTTGTAGCATTGGCCGAAACCGGAAAAGAAGCTGAGTGGCTAAGAGATTTATTATATGAAATACCTTTAGATATAAAGGATATTTCTTCTATACTAATCTTGTGTGATAGTCATGCTACTCTAGCTCGAACATATAATGATATACAATGAAAAGTCTAGGCATATGAGTCTAAGACACGAGTATATAAGGAAATTAATCAAGCATGGAGTAATTTCTCTTACATTTGTTAAGTCTAGTGAGAACTTAGCCGATCCATTTATAAAACCTCTCACAAAAGAGTTAGTGAGATAAACTTCAAGTAAAATGGGAATAAAACTTCTCAAATAGATACACCAATAATAGCAACCTCACCAAGATATACTAAACTAGTATATATATAGGTTCAAGAGGTAACAACAAGTTATTCGATAAGTGGATGGATTCAACACTATTAAATATATCAAACACTATCTTTGGAAAACAGTGTTGGTTGTTACTGTTAGAGGGATGAGTTAAAATAAACTCTTAATGAAGTTCAGTACAGAGTACAAGTATCTGTAAAAATAACAAAGATATTGGAAGAACTTCACCTATGTGAACTTCAAGGTGGTACCGCCTCGTTAGAGAGTTGGAGTTTTCTTTCTTTAAAAGTTCAATGAAATATGATTAGTGCAAGGTCATGTTAGCACTAAACAAGTTAGAAGAACTAGTGAAAAGCTTAACACTTGTGTGTGTGATTTCATCGGTATTGTCACAAAGAATAATTGGTTCAAGGCACACTAGCCACCTAGAATTCTGATAATGCTTTATGATAATTATACTATGAATAGATTCAAATCAAAAAATATCTAATTCTTATACATAAGTGTTGATATTTGATTATTTGATTAATCTAGATTTTGAACAAGTCGGGGATTGTTGAAATTTATTTATTTGTTGTTCAAAATCAAGAAAAAGAAGAAAATGGCTTAACCATGCGACCGCATGGATTAAGCCCATGCAGTCGCATGAGGCTCTCCCGAGAATGGGAGGGCTAGCAAAGCTATAACCATGCGACCGCATGGCTATAGCCTATGCTGTCGCATGGTTGATATTTGTGAGCCGTTTTTGACATTTTTTATTTGAAATTGGTGGCTTTTCATCCTTGTTTTGCACCATTTCGTGAAAAACGTGTCAAGGCCTATAAATAGGTGATCCAAGTGCAAGAAAGATATATTGAATTCCATTGAAATTTATCCCCAAATTGTTCGTCCAAATGTTGAGGAAATTATCACATAATCATCCCAATTCTCATTTGTTCATTGTGAAGTTACATCTTTACTTTTGGTGTTTTTCACATCAAGGCTTATTTAATTCTACGAACGATTTGCTGGAAATCCTTAAAAGCATTTGGAAAGAAGGCAAATAACATTTGAGGACAGCGAAATTAATTTCGTGTTCAAGCCTTCGTTGTTTATTCTATATTCTTCCCTTTGTTGTCTTTTCATTCTCCTTCTCTTTTGCATTAATTTTCCAACATGAAGATGAATCGTATTTGTTATTTATTTATAATACAAGACTAGTAGTTTAGTATTTCTTAATTAATTTGAATACCCGTTACATTATTTAATTGATTGGCTACCAATTAGATAATTAATTACTTGTTATAGTGTAGGGAAACTCACAATAAGTTTAGGTGCTTGTTTGTTATAGATTTTAAGCCAATTAAAATCAATTTTTGACGGTTATTTCACTATTTTAATCGTCGTTTTTTAAATTCTTCTCTCACGGATAGGATCCACTTTATCTCTAACGATCAAAAAATCAATTTTCAAAATTCCTACCAAACAAGTACTAGAAAATGATAAAATAAATATATGTACAATAGATGTTAAGAATAACATTAATCGCTTGTGCAATCATATAGATAATCTAAATTTTAATGCATCTTAACCATTCGAATTCAGGCTAGGAATATATTCGGGTTGTGATTAGGATAAAATTAATTTGTCATAAAAAAGAAAGTTAAATACATTAACTTTATCGGTTGTCAAGAATGTCCGAACGAAACTAAATTACGAATTAAGAATTGAAATAGATAGTAATAAGTGAATTCGAAATCCAATTCAATTATCCATAATTTGATAAATACCAGACTTTTATTGCTTTGTTAGATTAATCTAGAAAAAAATAAAATCAAAATGACAAAATCTATCTTTTGTTTTACATAATTTGAATTCCTTACATAGCTAATAAAACTTGAATTGAAATTTATTTTCTATGGAACGATACTTTCAACTCATCAATTCTATTAATTGTCAACGACCACGTATACTTACGAATTTTGCACGAACATGTATAAAGAAAGATGATATCAAACATTATTTCTAAACGTCTTATATAAGCCCAGTTTTACATCTTATCCCAGATTCTCTAAAAGTGTCATGACTATCTATTTGACACCTTGCAGTTCAATCATTGGAACGAGTAAATTTCATATAAACTCTCAAGTGTTGTGCCAGCTCATTTTACAGCTCCAATATTCAATCATTAGATCAAGTAATTTCATACCAACTCTTCAACGAATGTGTATGACTAACTTAAATTTAAGTTCTCTTTTGCGTGTATTCATCAATAAGTACTTCAGTAAAGACAAGTTTTAACGCGAGAAAACCAAAGCACTCATTACCAATGATTTAAAGCTCCATTCATAGTAGCAGCAAATTGGGAAAAAAATAATAATAATAAAAATAAAAATAAGGGCCGTTCAATTTTGCTGTTGAAACTTGAGGACATACTGAAAATGTTGAATGTTAGTGAAGCAAGCCATCAAACCATATTTTCCTGTTTGGGCTTCATTTTTCTGAAAATTTCAAAATTCATTTTCTACACATTTTCCATAAAATCAAGTTACACATAAATTCAAAAATTTTCATTATTTTTTAACCAGACATTCTTCAAAAAATCACTATTCCAAAATACATTTTTCATCTGATATTTCATTTTAATAGAGCCCAAACAGGGGTGTTATGCTTCGTCTATTGAGATACGAGTGTAAAGGGAAGGGTAGTTAAACCGATGAATCTATAAGGCAAAGTGTCATGTTGCTTATGCATCTATACCTGACCTGCAATCAACAAAAAGTACAGCACACCTTAGGGAGGAGCCTGAACGTGACCTCCCATTCGCAGAAGGACACAAACCCAAGAGGGCCAAAAAAGAAAAAGAAAAAAGGATCATCAATGCAGGACCTAATACAAGCTGAGACAATTACAGAGAAAAATAGCCGAAACAAACATGGGTCATTGATGAAAAATCAAGAAATGAAACTAAAAGAATTAAGAAGGCATCCCGACTTCTTGGCCTAAGGTCATAGCACCAAATTGAGTACTAGATTCAACAATCATCTTAAGAAAGCACATAAGAAACAGAGCGGTACTTTGCATCAGATAAACAACAGGAAGAACCAGCATTGAAGTTGCAGAAGCATGCTTTTACATAGCTGTAATTTGGCTACTGAAATTCCATGTCTCCATCTCTTCTAAAATTAGACATTATTTCAACAGTCCAGGCAATTCAAGAAAGACATCAAAGCCAAGTGACCTTAATTTGCAGTAGAGACCCCTGGTGAAAACAGAAAAGGATTTCAGATATTTGATAAGAGACATTCACGAGTGCTTATAGGAACATAAGAAGCATATAGAATGGTGAAGCAAGAAAATTTACTTTTCAAGCCAAGAGGCTGGTAACCTGAATTACTGCTACTGAGACGAGAAGATGTATTTATGCGGAACATGAGAAACTTTCCACCAATCTTCACCTCTATCTCTCTGACAACGCCTTTGGAGATCAGGGCAGTCTTGAATAGATAGGTGCTGGAGTTTTTCCAGGCGTTGAAAAGCAAGAGGCAAGGATTTTATATTAGGGCATTCAGATATTGCTAGTGTTCTCAGTGTGGCAAAACTGTCCAACCACTCTGGCAAATTTGCAATTCTTTGACAGTTCCGTATTTCCAGACGCTGAAGTGTTTTGACGTGCTGGAGACTCTCGGGCAAACATTCTATCAGAGAGCAGTTTATAATGGCCAAACTTAAAAGGGAAGAAAGGTGCTCTAAACTATCTGGCAAACCAGCTAGATTTGGACAGTACATAATGGTCAAGTGTTTGAGAGCTGTAAGATATTGAAGTCCAGCTGATATGGAACTCAGTTTACTGCAGTTCTCAATTGACAAGGTCTGAAGAGATATCAAACCTCCAATTGGATTCTCTGGAAGAGTTTCAATACTGTTGCACTCAATGATTTCGAAATACTCCAAAGCATTGAGGTTTTCAAATCCTTCCGGTGGCAAGGAGAGTTGATCACACCATCGAATGTTCAGCGATTTAAGGGAAGTCAGGCATCTGAAACCTGAACCAAGGAGCCGAAGTGTCCGGCAAGATTTTATCTTCAAGCTCGTGAGGAGACAATTATTTCTGACCAAATTTTCTGGTAGAGATGACAAATCATCAAACCCTTCAATTATTATGGTTGAAAGCAACGTTAATTCTTCCATTCTATTTAACAAGATTGAACGACAACTCTGCATCTCCAAATGCTTTAGAGAGCGAAACAATGGGAGTGAATCAAGGTTTGGACACTTTCTGATGACTAATTTGCTCAGTAGTGGAGATTTTTCTGTGTCATTCAGACAATCCCACGTTTGCAAACTTGGAAAGTCTATCATAAATAATTCTTGCAGTGATGGAAATGATTTACGATCCTCACCGTAGAACTCACGGCCAATATGCACAATGTTGTCCATTCCTTCCATGCGCAGTGTTCTAAGAAATGGAAGATGACCAAGAATTGGTAGCTGCACGCATCCTCGGCAATTGATCAACACCATCTCAGTTAGGTTTGGAAGAACCCAGTGTGGAAACTTGATTCCAGGATAACCAACTATGAACATTTTCTTCAAATTTTTATGTGGTTGGAGGCCCGCCAAAACTTCCCCAGCCAAGACCGGATCACAATCAGAAGCATGTGTTTCAGGCTCCCCTGACGGCCCTGGTACATGCTCCTTTCTTTCTTGGAATCTGGCTATGTTGGCTTCTAAAGCAGGATTCATGATGAGATCTGCTGCTTCATCTCCCCAACAAAGTCCTAAGGACTCCAGATACTCTTTATTCATCAGAGGCATCGATTCCACTTGTTTAACATCATCAACTCGCTCTAAGCGCTTGATTTTTAGTTCCCCTTTAAGTGCAAAAAGTTTCAGATGTGATATGAGAGCGTGATACTCACACTTACGATGAAAAAATTGTTTGCGGTTCAAGCACATATCACATTTATGCCCAACAACATATATTGGCAGTGTCTGAAGGTGAGATAAAAGTCCGATGCCAAAGGGCATCTCCTTCAGTGCTTCACATCCGCTGATGTTGAGATGCCTTAGGCCTCTCATTACAGCCAAATCGGGCAACGATCTAAGATTGTAGCAACGGAATAAATTCAATGTCAGTAGAGAGCGGAGGGAAGATATTTCTTTTGGTAAATTGTAGAAATGATTGTTGGACAGATCAAGATGTTTCAATAATGGCAGGCAATTCATTGAAGGCAGCTGCACTAGGCATCCACTTAGATCCAGCATCCTCAAGAAACGAAAATTTTTAAAGATGTCGGAACACTCTTCCAGAGCTCCACCTTCTGAGAACACAAGGAGAGTACGCAAATGTTTTATCTGAAGGAGGGCATCTGGAATGGGGAACGATATACGCTTAGATACAATTGATGCATGACGAACTAGTTCGAGATTGTTTCCTGCAGGTGTGTTTGTTAATACTAAATATTCATTTTCTGTAAGAGATTGGGCAAGACTCTGAAAATCTTCATTCATCTTGTACCTTCTTATCGCTCCACCTTCATATTCCTGGACATCTTCAAACACGGACATCGAGACCAACTCATTGAAATACTCATCCCCAATTTCTTCTAGTGCCTTGCTTTCACCATCTGGAAGAATTAGGCCTAGTGCCATCCACATATGGATTAATTTCTCCCTCTTGATTTCGTAATTCTTCGGAAATATTGAGCAGAATGCAAAGCAATGTTTGAGATGCGGCGGCAAATGCATGTAACTTACCAGTAGGACAGGTAAAATTTTCTTTTTGTAATCCTGCCAAATCCAAAGATTACTATTCTGCACATTCAACCACTCCCTCTCCTCTCTCTTGAAGCGCATGAGACCACCAAGAATTTTTGCAGCCAAAGGCACACCTCCACATTTCGGCATTAGTTCTTTCCCAATTGCATGAAGGTTTGGATACTTCTCTTCTTCTGTTCGAGTAAAAGAAGCACGCTTTGAGAATATTTTCCAGCAATCATCATCAGACAAACCCTTCAAGCGATATGATGTATCTAAACTGCCTACAACCGATGCAGCTTTTTGACTGCGGGTTGTGACAAGTATTTTGCTTCCGTCAAGTCCGCACTCGAACAGTGGCATCAGTTTATCCCAATCATCATGATCTTCACTCCAAACATCATCAAGCACGACAAGAAATTTCTTTTTTTCTAATGATTCCCACATTCGAGAGTGCAGACCGTCAAAGTCATTTGAATCACATTCATTTCCAGTTTATTTCTTAATTATTTCTTTAATTATTCTTTTGGCATTAAAATCACTCGATACAAAAACCCAAATTCTTAAATCATTGAAATGTTTCTTTACCTTATCGTCATTATAGATGAACTGAGCAAGAGTGGTTTTTCCAATGCCTGGAGTACCAACTATTGATATCACAGATGTAGTTCCTCCACCGACTATTCCAGATGGTGTTAATAACATATCTATTATCTTCCTTTTGTCTTCCTCCCTTCCATAAACCTTAGATCCAATGACAAAAGAGCTAGTTTCCTTCTTGTCAAATTGCTCATCCTCAATATTCCTTTCTGCTAAGTGTAAGCTGAGTCCTTCCGCTGCTGCCTTTTCTAAATTATCACGAATGATCCTTGGGTAGGCGGAATTAAGAGAATATCTTTGTCTCACACGCATAGAGTCACATTCGAATTCTTCAAGCAAGTCCTCTACTTTGCAGGCTGCATCTTTGAGCTGACAAAGCCAAATTCTAACAGCTTTATCAGTAATTTGCCGCTCTTCTGCATCCTGGATAACAGCTTGGACCCTTGGCAGTATACTTTGGAGGTTCTCGAGCCGGTTACTGAGATTCCAAATATCAGCAAACATTTGAACAACAGGGTCCGCTATCTTCTCAATTATAACCTGTAAAAATGGAGGCACAAAGATGCTTGCCATCTTCAAGCTTGGTGCTTGATCAATTTTGAGACGAAAAAGATATTGTGAAGAACAAATTATTTTTCTCAGTTTCAGTAAGTCAATAATTTGCAGGTTGCAACTTTTTCCAGAGAAAATAGCAAAACAGGCCAAAAAGTAGAGGCTGGAAACTTCCTTCTAATTTCCTGTGAGATTCCAATCATATTTTTGAAACTCAAAAGAGATTTCCTAATTTTTATTACCCGTGGAAAGTAAAATCAAATTTTCAAAATTAATAAAATTTATGATTAAAAAAGTTATGAATCCCACGATTAACATTAATTATTAACTTTAATTTTAATAAAAATTTAGATTATAGTTTCAGTGATGCAGGAATTTATTTTTCAATAAAATTGCAAAGTCCAAGGAAACACTTTTTGAAATGTTTTTACCGAAATTCTTGAAAACTTTAATTAAGGTCCGTTTGCTTACAAAGGTGGAATTTGGGTGGAAAAAAAATGAATTCTAGGAAATTGAATTGATGGGAAATTGTTTTACTGGGAATTGTCAATTGATAGTGTTTAATTGGTATAATTTTCTACGTGCAAAATATTGAAATAAAAGTGTTTTTTGATGTCCGTTTGGCATTATTTTACGTGAAAATTGTCAGTTAAATAGATGAAATTTATTGGTATTGGAAATGAAATTTATTTCCATTGCCAAAATAAAAAAAAAATTTCAAGAAAATCGTCTATCTTTTAATGTTCGTTTGACTTTGTTTTACATGAAAATTGTCGATTAAAGGAAAATATTTTTTTACAATAATTCTTAGAATTTATTTTCATTGTTAAAAAAAAATTGAAAAAAAATGAAAAAATGCTACAATACCCCCTGGAATTTCAATTCTCACCATATTGGTGAGAATTGAAATTCCATGAAAAGCTGGAAAAGTGCTCCTTCCTGAGAAAATGAAGAAAATGATTTCCTTGGAATAAAAACACTATCAAACAGCCCTAAACATGGGAAATGGAAAAGATTTTCCATTTTCCATGGAAAATTTGCCCCAATCAAACTGGGCATTAGAGATTTCACTTCATTGCAGGGGTTTTTCAAGTGTTTGCTTCGATAAGCATGCTTATTAGACTCGATTCAAATAGTGATGTACTAGGTTATCAAATTGCTGATTGAACCGACGGGTCAACGATTCGGTAGTTTATTATTTGAAATTGGTTTAACTTTTTAAAAGTATAAAAATCATCTTTGAGACAAAATTAAAAATTTAAGTTATTTCTCACTAATTATTTGTTATCTTTAAATTACAAATTTTTGAACTTATTAATTTGTGATAATAATTACATTTTTGATTTTATAAATTTGTATATTATATTTATAAAAAATTAGATTATTCCCATTTTTGTTATGTAGAAATCATTTATTAGTTATCGATAAAAAAAAAAATTTATGTGTCACTGATGTTTTTGAGCCCCATTATTCCAAATTTTTGCCAATTTCATTTTCTTCATTGGGAAAACACTGGACGTTCAGGAGCCTGTTTGGCACCCCCTATTTGGGGCCACATTGAATGAATTGTGGGTAATTTCCACACGAACACCATTCATGATTCACTCTTGGAGAGTTGTAGCAGGTACCCAAATCTGATTTCCAAGTTTACCCTTCAAATAAACGTTGGGAGGTCATGTAGAAGTTAAGGAATAGCGGGTTGTTTTTGGAAATTAGTTTCCCAAAGTTAGGATGTTTTCGACCTTTTGAATTTCACCGTTTTTTGCAACAATTTTAACAATTAAATTACTGTTTAAAAAATTAGAAAGCCGGCAAAAAGTGGGAATAAAGAGGCTAAACACATGGGAGGAGCCGATCTCTTACCACAAAAGCGAATCTTCGTAAAAAAATAATTGTCATCTGATAATATTATAATGGAGTAAAAATGTTGGACTATAATTTTTTTCCCCCTCAAAATCTTGTTTAAGAACAGTAAATCAAAATCTTGTTTAAGAACAGTAAATGATTCATATTAGATATAGCTTGTTACGTAAAAATGTTAACAATTTGTTGTATCTTCTAGTGATGACATTGTCGGTCTTAATCCCTAAGGGATCCTTGGACCCTAATGTTTCAAAATGTATTTTTTTTTTTTAAACATGATTAATTGGGTCGACGACTCTATGAAATATTGTTGATTGGCCTAGTCAAAGTCAATTACACCTTGCTCACATAATTAGGATGGCCTGGTCAAGGGCTAGGCAGCTAGGGTAGTCGAGCTTTTTGTCTGATTGAGCAGATTGGGTCGAGGTTAATAACACTAGTTAACCTCTAGTTGCATTACTATAGAAGGTATGGTTAATAATTTATTAGAGTTTGAATTAACGTCAAGTAAATTTATTTATTTTTTAAACACAAATGAGTATTTAATCTAGAGTTATTTTTAAAATGAATTCTAATTCTCATACATAATTTTGTCTCTTAATTTTCTTAGAATTGAATACTCAATGTTGCATGGTTTCCATTTAAAAATTTATTTAACACCTAAACCTCTCAACATTAATAAGACCATTTTTGAGCCCCACTTTTCTTTAAGAATGCATTTTGGAATGGTAAATTGATGAAGAATGTTTGATTAAAAAAAAGAAAATTTTTGAATTTGCGCATAATATTTTTTTTATTAAAAATGTGTGGTTGATAAGAAATGAGAATCAAATGTATTTTGAAAAAAAAAGGACCAAACAAGGGCTAAATAATAAATTTGAACTTTGACTAAGTCAAAATTTATTCCAAAAAGAGAAATGCCCAACAATCGAGATGAAATAATTCTACTTGTATATAAGGAATTATAGAAGGTTTTATAGATAAATAATGTGTCAAGAGGAGAGTGGAGAATTTTTTTATTTACTTTTTTTTTTAAAGAAATTCTAATCCAATCATATCTCACTATATCATATTTATGTAAACCACTTACAAAATCTGTAAGTAGGGCTGGGCAAATCTCCCTAACCGAACCGACCGAACCGAACCCGAACCGAACCGAACCGAACCCGACGGTTCTTGTCAAATTAAATACCCGAACGGGTATCTGAATTGAGAACCGACGGGTACGGTTCGGTTCTCGGTTCTAGACCAAGAACCGAAGAACCGAATAAGAACCGAATCTTTCTAATTTTTTTTATATTGAATAAATCAAATTATTTTAATTTTAATTTTTTCTAAACAAATTAACAAATTAACAATTTCTAAATTCAAATTTTTGGCCCAATAATTTGTTTCATTTCTAATTTTTTTATTTTTGGTCCAATTACCCATTTTATTGTCTTATTTTTTAGCCCAACAAGATCCAACCCACTAAATAACCCTAAACACCTACACTAAAGTGCATAACGCTGTCTCGACTCTCGCAGCCTCGCTGACAATCCAAAACCTATACAATCGTCGACCGACGCTGTGACCTCTGATCGAAACAGTTACCTCCACCAACCGAAATTTTGACCGTAGCGATCATTTGAATAAGGTAGTCTACTAGTCTCTGACATTTCAAAACCATTGAACGTGACATTAGTTATATTTATATAATGTTGTAATAAATGTGAAAAAATTTAATTATAGTACAGAACCGAACGGAACCGAACCGATCCGAACCGAACCGAACGGAACCGAACCCGAACGGTTCCATAATTATATTTGGACCCGACGGTTCCATTTACTAAATACCCGAAAATTTTGGTTCGGTTCGGTTCGATTCTCTTTAGAACCGAACCGAACCGACCCGCGCCCACCCCTATCTGTAAGTGGTGATGCAGAAGGTTTTTTTCCCCCCCAAAAAAGTGTAATGTTTTAAACCAACTAGGTATGTGTATACAATTGATATATAATTCATCTAAAATTGAAATTGGAAGGCTTGGTTGGCAACATATTCACCTAAATGTAATCATGTCATGCAAAACAGGGAAATACATGGAAATGATCTAAACAAAGAGGTCATTTTTCCAAAATAACATTTGACTAATTTAGATGCCTAAAATACCACTCCTTTTGAATATTGCATAACAAGTTAATATAATATAGAAATCTTCCATTTTAGTCCTTAAAATTAAACATTGCTTGAATTTTAATAGATTTATTGTTACTACAAATTTATTTGATTTTTGTTCACTCAAAGTAGCATCCCCTAATTGGTATCAAAATCATGAACTATGAGAAAATCCATAACAAATAAATTACCTAAAAAGGTAAAAATCTTTAGATATATATTAACACTTAGATTTTATTTAAATTTAATAAATGAAAGATTAAGTGTTAGACATTTAAAAGAATATTTAGATTGCACAT